TGGTTGTTATTATATTTATTTGTGATAGTTACTGCATATCGTAAGATGGTAGTACCACCACTGAACCTAATTATTGAGGCAACTTAAAATCCATAATACATCCAACAGTATGGCTCATAGAAGGTTAACTGATATTGAATATTCACATCACCATGAAAATCTCAAAGCCTAGAATATGAAAAGTAATCATCAATGTTTTCTGAGCCCCCTACCCACCCACCACACATTTTTAACTGATTTCATACAATACAATACTTTTATTTTCCGTCGTTTCACAAGCTTATTGTTAAAATCACATAAAATTGTTACATTTTTAAAATTGAAATTTTATGTGATTTTAACAATAAGCTTGTGAAACGACGGAAAATAAAAGTATTGTATTGAGGAACACAAGCAGGATGCAATTAAGATATAAGATTTCATACAAGTTTGAAGTGTTGATAAACAAGAACAAACTATGTAGTGAAAGTCCTCATGGTGTTACAATCTAGAAGACTGCCAAGAACTTAATAGCCACAAAAACCTCAGATCGTACATGTATCTTTACAGTTTGTCCCATAACTCTGTAAATGCTAAAAATGAAATATGTCGCTTAGAATCACTTCTCTTCAGCCATATATAGTAATAGTAAAGTTGCCCATGCTTTTAATAAAGCAGTATACCATGAAGATGTGTTGGAATGGAGGTACAGCTCCACATTCTCATAATCTTGGCACTAAATTGAAGTGAGAGGGCAGCTTCATGATCCAAAAACTTTGCCCAGGAATCTGGAACCTTTGATATTTTTTTAATTTCATACTGAATATTTGTGACTTTTCATTACTGCAAGTCTCGAGTGCTAAGGATTTAAACAAACGATACGTAAGTAACGTTTGTAATAAAGGAATTCCCCAAAAGAAGTGGTTGTAAAGGGAACATGAAATTATTTTCAGTTGGACCACAGAAAGGCGATTTTGTACATTAGGTAACCTTTTTGAAAGATGCAGAGTATGCGACTGTACTGTTGTGTTTTTCCATACAACCAACAAAAGGGAACTATTTGTTACTCGAATATGTTTGTTTTTTTCCCTACCATATTTTTTACAATGGTATAACCCTTTTATACCACACGTTTTCTAGTTTTCAAGACAGGTCTGATTAGAAACGTTTTTAGTACGGCGTTGAAAACTACGTTAAATTCTCTAAGTGCGTTTAGTATTGTTGTTTCATAAGATATGCATTTGTTTACACTGACTGCCGACTAGTTAGTATTTCCTTAATTAAATTACTTTGTTGATGTCTATTGTACACATAATAAAATGTTTGTACTAGATTTTGGATACTGTTCGTAGTATATGCATAAAGTTTACTTCCGTTCAAGTCAAGATGGCTGATCCTTTGAGCCTATTGAGACAGTACAATGTTAACAAAAAGGAAATTATAGAACGAGATAATCAGATTATATTTGGTGAATTTTCTTGGCCAAAAAATGTGAAGACAAATTACTTGATGTGGGGGTAAGTAACTTATATTATTCGCACTGGAAACGAAATTTAGTACTACTTCCATATGGCTTACGTTGCAGTAGTGAAACAGAAGATAGATTTTTCAAGGGATAAGCCCTTGAAATTGTGTAACAATCCAGAGAGAAAATTTATATTGTGTATAGTTTGATACTTTCACTGTGTAAGTATGGTCGCAAATGTGTTATTTAATAATATACGTAGCTGTTAAACTGTCTGTTTATAAATGTATACATTTGCAAAAATGAAATTATTTTAAGACTATTAGGGTATCATGTTATATTGGAAAATTTAACAGACAGCAGAAGCGTAAGGTCATTAAGAGTAATGGGAGGTGTTGTATAGTCTCATGAAGAAAACTGCCTAAGAAATGTTTTATACTTCCCCTGGTGACTGAAATTGTAGTCTTACTCTTTTGAACATTAGTTTATAATTCACATAAGTGTGGCTAGAGTGTATGATTTATTTCTCCATCAGAAAATAATATGCCACTGATCTTGATCTGTGAAAAGTTATACATTTTCTGCACAAATAATTACCCGTTAACATTCATTTGGGAAAAGTTTGGAAACAGGAAATAAATTAACAGTTTCCATAAAATTAGTTTTCATACTGACTTCCTTGTGAACATGTGAATCGTTTACTCATTTCTGTGGTGTTTCCAAACTGAAACTATGATTCTAACACCAATGCCTATCACAATTATTATTGTAACACTGCTTTTGCTGCAGAGTAAACATCGTTAGCTGTGTTTGCAAGTAATGTAAAAGTGGGCCTGTTACATTTGCTGTGTCTTTGTCTGAAGGTATAGTATAGACTGGGAAAACAAAACATGAATATTTGATTCTTAGAGGTGAACTAGTAGATTACTTACATAATAATTAATATCAGGATTTGAAGGTGGTTGTCTTGAGGTTACAAAGTACTACAACCCAGAATGTACCCGTATTCCAACTCAGTATATGCATTGTTGTGACCAAGTGTTCATAATTATATGATGATAATGATATAACATTGCATGAGTACCTTTGAAGTTTTGCCATATTAATTATCACTTTTATAAGCATTGAACTCCTATCAGAGTTGTCAGTTGGGATCTTTTAGGTCATTATACCATGTAGTCTTGTAGATGAATATGGAGGTGATATGTTCCTCTGGAATGATGGTAACCAGTAAAAAGACTGCACAGTATCACAACCCAGAAGACCACAGTTGACATTTTTATTGCCTTGAGGACTTCAAATCTGCCAGTACATTCTTTGTAGAGAGGGACATTCCCTGTATAAAGCTAGGAAATTGCTGAATTAGTCCTGGATCTTAAAAATATTGTAGATATGCTAAGCTAAATATACTGATAATTTAAATATGTATGTAAAATGAGGAAAATAAGTATGGGTAACATTCCATAATTTCTGTCTTTTTTTAAAAAATGTTCATCTTATTTACAGCTCTGGTAAAGATGGAGCCCCAAAGGAATATTACACATTAGAATGTTTATTATTCCTATTAAAAAATGTCACTCTCACACATCCTGTGTATGTGCGCCAGGCTGCTGTAAGTATATGTTTTAATGAAGTGAGAAAGGATAATGTGATTTTATTTGCATCAGTCACTGATTTATTTGTGGATGAATACAGGCAGAGAACATTCCTGTGGTGCGGCGACCAGACAGGAAAGATTTGCTGGCCTACTTGAACGGTGAAACTGCTGCTTCAGCCAGCATTGATAAGTCAGCTCCTCTTGAGATTCCCACACAAGTAAAAAGGACAGCAGATGATGCTCTTGAATCAGTTGCCAAGAAGCCTCGTTTTGAAGAAACACAGGTGCAAAAGGTGAAAGAACAGCTTGCAGCTAGGCTTGATGCACCCAAGGAAGCATCTGTAACAGTTGACAACATCAAGTGAGTGAAGTGAGAGATTAAGGTTCTTGGATTTTTATAAAGTTTATTTTGTTTGCAGGTTATAAAGCTTTGTGATATAATGAGTGACTACATTTTTATTATGCTTTTATGTTGAAGCATTCTGTTGTGTACTGTATACAGTTATTTCTAATGGTCCAGCTCCATCAACTTTATGCAGTATATTTTATTGTAATGTAGTTTTTAAATCTTGTGTATAAACCTTTGTTTTCTCTCAGTATATCCTGTACCTGTTTGTGTTTGTTAACAGATATAAGAATAAGAATAAGAATGTTTTAAGATGTGCAATGTCTTCAGAACAATACTATACAATTTGCAGTTTGTGTAGTGTAACTTTATACATTTATTCCAAATTGTTTTCATACTTTTAGATCCTTGTCAGAAGCAATGTCTGTAGAAAAAATTGCTGCTATCAAAGCTAAACGTCTGGCAAAGAAGAGGACAACTATAAAAGGAAATGATGATATAGGTTTAGGCTCAGATCTCCGTGTCATGTTAGATTTTGATGTGGATGTGACGAAAGACATCATCTCTAGAGAACGGCAGTGGAGAACACGTACTACTATTCTGCAGAGTGCTGGAAAGGTAAATATTAAGTCTTTATTATGTTGGAACATGCAGTATAATACTAACAACAAAGTTTTATTTTTTAAGTAAATACAGATATTGCTAAACATCTGTTATTGCGTATGTTCTCAGTTTTCATGAAATATTAATTTCCTAAACAGGAAGTAAAGTTGATTTGAGTACTGTTTGAGTCAGAACCACATTTGAATTTTCTCAAGAAATTTTGAAGTTACATCCATCTTATAAAGTTTCAGGCTGCCTGCTTGTACCATTAATGTATGTGTCTCATTACAGTAATAATAAATAAATTGTGGTTATAACATTCTTGTTTTGTCCATATTAAACTATTAATTTTCATGCTGTATATCAGTCTTAAGGCTTTCACCAAGGTTAATGAATGGCCAAAAAGTTATATGCTAGATGATTTCATAATAATTGTTGCTTTTATTTGCATACATAGCAAATCTCAAACACTGGTCATTGACTATACTTCTCATGAAAGGAGAAGAAAAACTTCAGAGGCAGTCTGTGATAATATGGGGAGTCCTTGCATGCTTACTATCA